TGGAAGCGAAGGGGGCGTGTCAGTTCACAGAGTCCTTACTTGACCACATTGTCCTCTCGGCTCTGTTGTCAACACACTTTTACATTTCCTTGCTCAATTGCTATATAAATTAACATTATTTCCCCTTATATGATTTATATATACACTTTTACATTTCCTTGCTCAATTGCTATATAAATTAACATTATTTCCCCTTATATGATTTATATATACACTTTTACATTTCGCGCCTAAATGCTATATAAATTGACATTATTTCCCCTTATGTGATTTATATATACACTTTTACATTTCGCGCCTAAATGCTATATAAATTAACATTATTTCCCCTTATATGATTTATATATACACTTTTACATTTCGCGGCTAAATGCTATATAAATTAACATTGTTCAACCTTATATGAATTAATAATACACTCTCTGAAATGAGCATTGCATCTTTATTGTTTGTCTTCTACACATGGGTATCGTTACTCTGATGAAAAAAAACATTTGAAGAATCCAAGGATGGGTTGCCGAATTCCAGATTTGGTGAGTGAGTGAGTCTAGTTTTACGACACTCAGCAATATTCCAGCTATATGGCGGCGGTCTGTAAATAATCGAATCTGGACCAGACATTCCAGTCATCAACAGCATGAGCATCGATCTGCGCAACTGGGAACAGATGACATGTTTTAACCAAGTCAGCGCGCCTGACCACTCGATCCCGTTAGTCACTTTTTACAAGCATGTGAGTGAGTGAGTTTGGTTTTACGCCGCACTCAGCAGCATCATTCCTGCTATATGGCGGCGGTCTGTAAATAATCGAGTCTGGACCAGACATTCCAGTCATCAACAGCATGAGCATCGATCTGCACAACTGGAAACCGATGACATGTGTCAACCAAGTCAGCGAGTCTGACCACCCGATCCCGTTAGTCGCCTCTTACGACAAGTATAGTCGCCTTTGTGGCAAGCATGAGTTGCTGAAGACCTATTCTACCTCGGATCTTCACGGGTCTACAACAAGCATGGATTACTGAAGATCAAATATTCTAGCCCAGAACTTCACGGGTATCCAGATTTCATCTTCACGGTCTTCACGGACTATAGATTACCAATTACTTGTAATAACTATTAGATACTATAACTATAAATACAGTTCAGGTTGTAATAGGTTTTTAAATGTTCTATATAATTCGTAACGAGAGCTGCTTTCTAGAGTGAAATGCCATTCCTGATGAAACATATTTACCGCTCGATCACGAAATTCTTTTAAAAACATAAAGACATCGCCAACACCCTGGCTTATCCATATAAACCCATATCCATGAGAAAACAAAAGATTTCTAATATGTGATGCCCAAGATATTTTACCCATATTATCTAGATGAACCATCATATATATAAGATATTTTGGGTAGATATTTTACCCATATTACGACATTTTATGATATTTTGGGTACGACTTTAGAATCTTAAACCAATATTTAAGGCATCGTATTTGCGAATTAATGTACATAGGATATCTCCCGCATTCACCGTAAACCATACAATTTGGAGTAGCGGATCCAACACATAAAAACTTCTTGCAAGCCATAAGATGTAATCTCTCCAAGTAATCGTAGCGTTGAAATCCCCACACTTCCGATCCATACAATAAAATGGATTGTATCTGGGCATCAAACAGTTTGAAAAATATATTTGAAGTTAAAATTCCACATTCATGTGAGATAGATAAAATTGAAATCATTGCTTTCTTTGCACGTAGGAACAAGTCGTAGACACAACTTTTTAAACTCATCGTATTTGAAAAAATTATCCCCAGATATTTATATTGATTAACAATAGCAACAGATTTTCCGTGAAGAAACCATTTCTCCTTAGATGCAACAGCGCCACCCCTTCTGAATATGACTATTTTAGTTTTGTCTAAATTTACGGATAGTTTCCAGTTTTCAGAATAACTTTCAAGAGTATTTAGCTGATTTTGCAAACCAATAATAGTTTCAGATATCAAAATGACATCGTCTGCAAATAGGAGCATAAACAGTTCTACCATATCTGGGAACATCTGTACACCATGTTTACCCTTTTGCATAACCTCATAATAAAATTCGTTTATGAAGAATGAGAACAAAATCGGACTTACAATGCATCCTTGTCGTAGTCCCATTGGGCAGTCAAAATAATCTGTTACACCAGAAGCACATCGTACACAAAATTTTACATTTGAATACATTGCTTTGGAGTATACATTTTCCCGCTTAAACCGGCATTACGTAAGCAATACCATAATTTGTGTCTATCTACAGAATCGAATGCTTTCTTAAAATCGACAAAAGCTACAAACAGTTTGTGTTTTCGACGGGATAAACATTTCTGAATCAGTGCATACAAAGTAAAAATATGATCAGTTGTGGAGTATTGCTTACGAAAACCAGCTTGATTCTCAGGAATCTTATCTCTCACGTTTTCCCATTTAGAGAGTCGGGTATTTAGTATAGAAGTGAAGACTTTGCCGAGAATACTCATAAGAGATATTCCCCTATAATTATCGGGATTATTAAAGTCACCTTTCTTGTGACTTGGGACAATAATAGAAATTGACCAACTACGAGGAAATACTCCTTTTGTGAACAAACTATGAAAGCATTTGTTGAGAAATGGAAGAATTTCTGTAACAGAACATTTAAGCATTTCAATAATGATACTATCGGGACCAGCTGCCTTTCCACATTTCAATTGTGAAATTGCATTTGTGATTCCATCATCCGATATAGGCGAGTCTAGTACAAGTTCATCTACTTCATCATAGTCCCCATTAAAATCATGCGAAATTTCTAAAAAGTCTTGGCCATGGTCAAACTGATCGAGCACTGAATTATTTGCGAAAACATTCCTGAAATGAATGAGCCACTCGGTTTTGGAAATTGAATTTTGTTGAGAGCATTTAGTTCTGATATGTCGAATTTCTTTCCAGAATTTAGACTGACAATGCATAGAATTACTGAGCCTGTTTAGTTTATTACTTTTGAGTTCATGTTTAAAGTTTCTGTAACATGTCTTGTACCTATTTCGCTCTTTACAGTATGTCCGTCTGTTACTATCAGTGCGTTGACATCGAAACTTTCTTAAAGCTCTACGTGCATTTCTCTTGGCCAATTTACATTCTCTGCTAAACGGTCTAGATTTAGAACTGTCTTTGCAAGCCTTTTTCATACATTCGGCCGATTTCAATATCGTATTAACGAGATCATTGACAGCACCATCAATATCAACCTCAAGTTTAATCAGCAGGTTTTCACCAGACTGGCCCAATTCCTGACGTAGAGTATTCAGAAATGTAGTACAGAATGAGTCATTCCAAAATATCTTCTCAGTAATGGTTGGGTTGTTATTAGACACGTTTGATGTAGGGGTCATTTTGGGGAAGCTACAGGATAACTCGAGTGGAAAATGATCTGAATCAGAGTGTTCACCGATATTAAAGTGTTGAAAATATTGGAATAATTCCGGGGAACAAATAAAGAAGTCATTTACACTACAACCTTTCTCACTACAGTATGTAAACTCACCATTTATGTCCCCGTTCACTCTACCGTTAACTATGAATAAATTGAAAGCATAACACATATTTAGCAATATGCAACCAAATCTATTTACCGTACTATCATGAGATTTACGATTCTCGACTGGGGTGTCATCATCGTCACAGTATGAACCAAAGTTGTGAAAGTCCTCACTCGGACACACAATAGGATTATTGAGTTGACCAGTTCTAGCGTTCATATCTCCACATAACATCAGATGAGAGTTGCTGAACTCTGTTAAGTTATCAATTAGGAGTTGTTCGAGTTGATCAATGCTGCAACTTGAGTCACAATTATCATAATACGTTGAACCCATAGGAGGTATATAGGTACATATCAGTTTTATATCTTTGTCAATGGAAAATATTTCTTTTGACAAATTTACACAAAGAGCGTTATCAATATGTAATTTTGACAACATACATAGTTTCTTGATTGATTCGTGAATGCACAGGCATACTCCACCGGATGGACGACCAAACAATAGAATACGTCGTATCCATCTAACCAGTTCATGTTTAAATTCTCAACAAATGTCTCTACTAAGCATATAATTTTGAATTTCCTGAGATAGTCAATGAAGTCTGAATCTTGGATTTTACTTTTCAAACCATTTACATTCCAGCACAGAAAAGTAAAATGTTCGTCTGCGTGGTTATCACACGATGCACCGTCAGGACTGCGTGTGGTGTTCCACGAGAAGGGTTCCTGTGGAGGTTGTTCCGGGCTTTGGCCACACTGCTAGGCAGTTGCACCCTGAGCAGTGGCATCTTTGCCGTTCTGACTTCGTGTTGAGATCCTCCTACCTATGCTGCGTGACGTATCACGCTGATGCGCGGTTGCTTTCACGCTACCTGTACGGGGCACCATTTTCCGAACGCCCGTGGTAGCTTATGCACTCGTAGCACTCTTTAGTTGTGTTGTGACTGTTGGGACCTCTCAGAATTCAAACGTTTTAGAAAAGATCTCTCTGCTCGTTACAAGCGCGTCATGTCACCAAGGGCGCGTAACTCTCGTAACTAAGAAACCCCAGTCCATTTGTTGCAATCTTAATGAGTAGTGAGGTATGCAGGGGCGTAGCTACCATTATAAAAACGCCTGGGCTTACAAATGATTGCTGCTAAGAAGGTTGGGCAAGCCCCAAATACTATCTAAATATAAAGCTTTGCAACCTATCGGGCTTACACGAAAAGAAACGCGCCTGATATAGATGGGGCAACAACGATTAACCACTCATGTTAAAACATGTTAAAATATACACATATTGAATGCTTTACGGTAATGACATATAATACACTTTCTTGCATAGCCACGTACTTCCATTTCCACATACATGTATTTCATATGGACATAATACATGTATGTTGAGAGAATAAACATGTGTTGTTTATGAATATGCCAATGAATTAACAGAACTATTATACAGATTCTTATCGTAATATTCATATATTTATTAACGAAAGTAAGGAGTTATGCCAAGTCATATTGGTTCTCAGGTGAGTCAGGAACTGGTGTGTGTGTGTGTGTGTGTGTGTGTGTGTGTGTGTGTGTGTGTGTGTGTGTGTGTGTGTGTGTGTGTGTGTGTGTGTGTGTGTGTTTTGCGGGGATATTGGTGCCATATCCGAATTGGCCTCTCGTATTCCTAGTTTCTGGATATTAATGCATATAAGGCATGTACATTTGTCAAGAAACTCCACACTTATGATTTAATGTTTGTTCTTTGCCATCTACCCCTTCCAACTTTCAGGGTCAGCTATATTTTACATTAGTAGGAGTGGAATGTTTGTGAAGATCTAGTGTCGTTGTCAATGTTATTCATAACCGACCATTTACCAAAATAGGAAGTTTCCAAGAAGTGCCTGCGTGCGCGCGCGCGTGCCTGCGTGCCTACGTGTGTCTGACTTGAATCAATGTTTGATAATATATCAGGGCATATCATTGGGTACAACAGTATTGCTTGTCGATCGATTCCAGTCAGGCCATTATAGTAAGCCGACCAGGTTTCAGGATGACCAAAGTTTTTCAAAACGAGATCCCGCCATCTTCTGTCGATACACTTTGTTAAACTCCTCACACTGTCGATCCGTGAACCAATTTTTCCAATCTCCAACTATGCCTGAAAGAAAGTAAGTGGAAAAATACACGATTCTTCATTGTGTTGTATTAACATGCATTGAGTTTACGCTTTCTTTCGCGAATGAGAAAAAAACCCCGCAAAAACTTTCTAATAGAAAGCACACCAGTATTTGATACAAAGAAGAGATCTGTTCACAAAAAAACTTGTAACAGACTGTTGCCTTGAAGTAGTAAGTATGTAAGTCCAGTCGGCAATATTTCACCAATACTCTGGCTGGAAAGTGTTGACATCAGGATTGCCTCCTAATCAGATATCGGTTTCCCGGTAGTGTTGACACATTCCAGATTCAGTTCATTGCTCCAGGCAGAGTTAGGGGAATAAAAGCCACGAAATCATGTTCTTAACCATTAGAAAACTGTCATGGCCTCACACATGTAACAGGTTTATAATCAGTCTAATTAAACTTAGGCTCAGTATTATTCGTTACACTGCTATACTGAGTCTAACAAAACCATTGTAGAAGGTCGCGTCAGCTAACCTTTTGGACTGACCAATCAGAACACAGCTTACCAAATCGCGAAAGTTAACATTCGCACATACCGTTTGAACCTTTACCTAAAAAACTCGAAAGATTCCGAATGCTATTTTCCGCACGATCGCTTCCGAGTGATACACGCAATGAGTAAAAACTCGCTGAAAATAGCGTTTTTGTCAATATTCAAGCAGAGACCATATCTATTATATGGTCTCTGATTCAAGGATGTCATCTTGCAAAAATATAAGCAAATAGTAACCATGTCATTAGAAACCCATAAGCGTATATACTGCAGGTAAAATATCTGTGTTTTATGCGGATTTGCGTTTGTTGATAGATCAGTGTCAGCGACCAGGGAAGAGAAAATTCAAAAACCGTTTTGTAAGTCCCGCCGAATCCAAACAAGTAGTCGTTGTCCGATTGGTTAAATCCGTTCTGCCGTCTCGCGTTTGATTGGACGGTCATAGGTCGCTCAATAGTTAGCTGACGCGACCTTCTACAAGGTTTTGTTAGACTCAGTATAGCAGTGTAACGAATAATACTGAGACTAAGTTTACTAAGACTGGTTTATAATTGAACTATGGGAGTCAGTCTTAGCGCTACGCATGTAACAGGTCAATGTAAAGCTGTGGAGTTACGACTGTCGTAGCGCTACGCATGTAACAGGTCAATGTAAAGCTGTGGAGTTACGACTGTCGTAGCGCTACGCATGTAACAGGTCAATGTAAAACTGTGGAGTTACGACTGTCGTAGCGCTACGCATGTAACAGGTCAATGTAAAACTGTGGAGTTACGACTGTCGTAGCACTACGCATGTAACAGGTCAATGTAAAACTGTGGAGTTACGACTGTCGTAGCACTACGCATGTAACAGGTCAATGTAAAACTATGGGAGTTACGTCAGTCGTAGCGCTACACATGTAACAGGTCAATGTAAAACTATGGGAGTTACGTCAGTCCTAGCACTACGCATGTAACAGGTCATGTAAAACTGTGGAGTTACGACTGTCGTAGCGCTACGCATGTAACAGGTCAATGTAAAACTGTGGAGTTACGACTGTCGTAGCGCTACGCATGTAACAGGTCAATGTAAAACTGTGGAGTTACGACTGTCGTAGCGCTACGCATGTAACAGGTCAATGTAAAACTGTGGAGTTACGACTGTCGTAGCGCTACGCATGTAACAGGTCAATGTAAAGCTGTGGAGTTACGTCAGTCGTAGCGCTACGCATGTAACAGGTCAATGTAAAACTGTGGAGTTACGACTGTCGTAGCGCTACGCATGTAACAGGTCAATGTAAAACTGTGGAGTTACGACTGTCGTAGCACTACGCATGTAACAGGTCAATGTAAAACTATGGAGTTACGACTGTCGTAGCGCTACGCATGTAACAGGTCAATGTAAAGCTGTGGAGTTACGACTGTCGTAGCGCTACGCATGTAACAGGTCAATGTAAAGCTGTGGAGTGACGATTGTCGTAGCGCTACGCATGTAACAGGTCAATGTTAAACTATCAGTTACGACTGTCGTAGCACTACGCATGTAACAGGGCAATGTAAAACTGTGGAGTTACGACTATCGTAGCACTACGCATGTAACAGGTCAATGTAAAACTGTGAGAGTTACGACTGTCGTAGCACTACGCATGTAACAGGTCAATGTAAAACTGTGGAGTTACGACTTTCGTAGCGCTACGCATGTAACAGGTCAATGTAAAACTGTTGAGTTACGACTGTCGTAGCACTACGCATGTAACAGGGCAATGTAAAACTGTGGAGTTACGACTGTCGTAGCGCTACGCATGTAACAGGTCAATGTAAATATGGGAGGTACGTCAGTCCTAGCGCTACGCATGTAACAGGTCAATGTAAAAATATGGGAGGTACGTCAGTCCTAGCGCTACGCATGTAACAGGTAAATGTAAAAATATGGGAGGTACGTCAATGAAGTACTCAAAGAGTTTCAGTAGCAAAGCGATCGTTTTTACGGCAGGTCCAGACAGCTTATTGAAGTGTTTTCCAATCACGTTGACAAAATACTTTAGACAGTCGGCAATACACTGTTGTCTCAATGTAAGCCTGATTCAAACACGAATGAATTGCAACCTAGTCAGATCCTCTTACTTTACTGCGTCCGTTCCATCGAGTGATCCTGGCTTTAAGACGATCTTGTCCTGTATGTTAACATTGGTTTACGACAGACATTGCAGTAAGACTTTTTCTCAGGAAAAGATCACTGTCCGTTTTGAAACACCGGATTGTTTTTATTACCTTTGCGGTAATGGACGTGCACGCCACTCTGGGATGTCCAGGCAAAATCACGCTTATTCTCCTTCATCTTGTGGAAGCTGCACTCGCCTGCTATTTCCCGACAGAGATCAGTGGACACTGGACAGTCAAGGAACCTTGACAACCGTTTCACAGTTTCAACTGGATCCTAGAATATTCAACAAATAGATGAATGTTGTTCGTGATCAGCAATATACAAATACGCACAAATATGCAAACAGCGACCAACTCCAGTGATATGTCATAAGTCAGGCAATCCAGTGACATGGGCAACTAACAACGCCCTCAGTTAAGCCTAATTCAGTTTTAATCGGGTTAAAAAGGCTACGATTTCGGTTATCTAAAGTGATCCCAAATCCTTTAATGGGATTGGTAAGACACAGACTTGGGGTGATTGAGGATATCTGATCATCTTTTTTCAAAGACTCCAGCTGACCATAAGTAGCTATCACACACAAGAGGACACCTCTCACTTCCTAAAGCCACGTACTTGTTAAAGATTTGTTTGGTTGGTTTGTTGTTTAACGCCGCACTCAGCAATATTCCAGCTGTATGGCGGCAGTGTGTAAATAATCGAGTCTGGACCAGACAATCCAGTGATCAACAGCATGAGCATCGATCTGCGCAATTGGGATAGGATGACACGAGTCAATCAAGTCAGTGAGCCTGTCCACCCGATCCCGTTAGTCGCCTTTTAAGACAAGCATGGGTTACTGAAGATCAATGCTTACCCGGATCACATGGTGACATGCATCAACCTGACCACCCGATCCCGCTCGTCGCCTATCACGACAAGCATTGGACGCGGAAGATCAATGCTAGCCCGGATGTCCATGGGTCGTCCCCGCTTACGACCAGCATGTATTGCTAATGACCTATTCTAAACTATTTAACTTGTTACAAATTCTGCTTGTGACTTTGTTTCAAAAGCATGGAAACTTACAGCTTTGTGTTCTTCATAGTGAAGGACAAATACAGGATGGTCAGGGTTTTGGTCAAGCACTCTCTCCCAGTCTCTGACGTAATCAAACCAGGAACCCCAGTCCACTGCAAGGTAAGTTGGTACAATATGATGTAGATCCTTTTAACATGCTTGCTTTACTATGGGGCGGTGGGGTAGCCTAGTGGATACAGCGTTCGATCGTCACGCCGAAGACCTGGGTTCGTTTCCCCACATGGGTACAATATGTGCAGCCCATTTCTGGTATCCCCTGCCGTGATATTGCTGGAATATTGCTAAAAGCGGCGTAAAACTAAACTCACTCACTCACTCACAGTACTATATATTACTAACTGTTATATTATCGTCAAGCTGTCGCCGGTATGTCTCCACGGGATGAAACATAGACCTTTAAGCAAAAAAAGTGTTGTCATCACTTAGTTTTTGTTTCATGCTGGTGAGTGAGTGAGTTAATTTTAACAAATATACACAAAGAGCTTAGTTAAGCACCCTCTGACATATCTCACGATTCAATGAGCCCGATCTTAACCCTTTGGAGCATATCTGGTACATGATTGTTCGTCGTGTGCAACAAAGGGATCCTCTTGTACAAAACCAAGCCCAATTGGAAGCCGCTTTACACGAGGAATGGCGTAGACTGCCCCTTCAGGAATCAGGAGGCTGACAGGGGGTATGAGGAGGAGGGTGCTGGCTGTCATACAATCATATGTAGGTTACACTCGGTATTGACCTTGAATCGTGTAAGACACGTAAAATGATATTTTGAATGTTCACATTCACCAATAAATGCAAAGTTACACATTCCAAGGCCACACTTATACAGACATTGTTTTGTATGAACATCAGTGGGTTTTTGTTAATTAGCAATTGTCATCATAAAAATCAACATGGATTCCAACGGGTCAGAAAAACTCATGTTTTCCATCGTGGTCACCACGAGAAGCTTTATGTACGTGTTGAAAACCTTGCACAAATACAGGGTTAGCTTAATTATGTTTTTTGTGTATATTAGATGTTTTCAGACTTGTGTTTTTGTGTGCGTATTCTATGCTCTTAAATGTCATTTGGAGTCGATTGCGACCTCATATTCGAAAATACATTATGGATTTCAACATTATTGTCGGTTTCTGTCTGTCTTTCTCTCTCGATATTTCTTATGAATTTGTGTTTTTTTGTAAAGAACTTTATCGGGAAATTATTCATTATCAGCAATGATTTTCGAATAGTGCCTCCTTCGTTATACAACGTGACGACGCCCTTCATCTCCAGTCAAGAAATATCGCGGCGTTGAACATGAACAATTGGTCTAGAAGCCAGACCCTAAAAATGGTGAAAATGTGGTGCAGTTCTGGCGACCGAGTGGTGCGATGTTTCACGATCAGGAATGATATAGCTTTGATTTTAAACCGGTTGTCATCAGCTACCGTGCGTGACTACCGTGCAGGGGCCCTTTTAAGGTCAACATGTCATTTCGTTTATGGTAATATTTTCATCGATAACTGGATGGTTTAGTTTAATAAGTAAGGTTTGGATTGACCGATTTTCAACAAAATAGTAGTTCTGGAATGCTCAGATCATGATTTAAAATTGTGGACAATAATTACATATTTGCTCAAAATATATATTGGTAAGGTCATCAGTTAATTTTAACGAACGTGCAAATGATGAGAAAAATATGAGTTAAACACTACAAATTAAAGGTAATTTTACCAAAATTATGTTTTTCTCATTCAGGTAAATCATTTGAAGACCATATGTACGTTTGGTTGGCACTGTATTCATGAAAAACTATTACAAAGAAACGAAAGTTGGTACTTTGTATTCAGATCAGGAAAATACAGTATTACATAATTTCGGCTCCATGCTTTCCAAAGTATCAACAATGCCCAATATGCCGAAGATATTGTTGGACTATCATACAAATTTCCGTTTATTGACAGTCTGGTAGACACAACAATTCAGCTGCTGTCAGAAGGAGATATGTTTTAGTAGGTGTATGGAGCTTTCCCAAATATATATTGTTTATATTTGTGTCACTTCACGCTCCAGCTGCACTGCACTGACATGATGTAAACCCCTTAAAGCTGATGGATAATAATATGACATCCTAATGGGTGAGTGAGTGAGCGAGTGCGTATGGTTTTACGCCGCTTTTAGCAATATTCCAGCAATATCACGGCGGGGGATACCAGAAATGGGTTTCACACATTGTACCCATGTGGGGAATCGAACCCGGGTTTTCGGCGTGACAAGCGAACGCTTTCACCAATAGGCTACCCCACCGTCCCCACATCCTAATGGAATGAATGTTTGTTGGTGACATTATGTTATTATGGTGTGCAATGTTTTTAGTGTGAAATATTACGACTAAAGTTTTCCTGATTTATTTTTGCAGCGGCAATCATTAATACATTGCAACAGATAATTACACACTGATCAGAAAGACTTATTGGTATCAAACCCCCAAATATACAGTTCTTGATTCCTGCATTCAATCAATAACAAAATATCTGTAAATATACTTGTGATCGAAACCTTCTTAAAGCTGTATTACTCACAGGTACTTACGCAGTGTTGCTATACTTTTCAAAGTTAAGCATTACTGCGTTGTTACGTCTCCAGATCTCTAGATAACCTGCAGCTAAATCAATACATTTAAAAACAAACATTATAAAAATGTCACCATGATTAAATATCGTGATTAGGAGTACTTGTGTGGCATTTCACCAATAAGGAGAAAAAAGATCTCACGAAGACACCTATCTTCATTTGAAGTGTGTTTGCGGAAAAGGTTAGCTCAAACACACGCAAAATCAAGACACCAGATGAAACCGGGAACTTATGGTACAAACAGGAAATAGTTGACTTCATTGCTACTTCTGTGGTAGTCCAAAAAATAATCTATTTATCTTGCTTAGGTGGATTTCGTCTTGAATACCCCCAGCATACGCAAATGCAACAAGAAACAAACAAAAGAACAGTGAGTGAGTTTAGTTTTACGCCGCTTTTAGCAATATTCCAGCAATATCACGGCGAGGGACACCAGAAATGGGCTTCACATATTGTAGTGAGTGAGTTATTGAGTATAGTTTTACGCCGCTTTTAGCAATATTCCAGCAAAATATCACGGCGGGGGGACACCAGAAATGGGCTTCACACATTGTACCCATGTGGGGAATTGAACCCGGGTCTTCGGCGTGACGAGCGAGCGCTCTAACCACTAGGTTTCCCCACCGCCCCTAAAACACACGCACAAAACCCAAACAAATGCCATAAAAAGGCTGCACGGCGTGCAAGTTGAATGTTCTATTTTACAACAGTTGTCTAATGTGGGAGCAATTCAGAAATATAGGTATGAGCTTGAAAGTCGCTGAAAATAGATATGTTTGATAGAAATAGATCACTCCCTTTACACTGAATTAGTCCCCGTGAGCCCGAAGATTCAGAACCGGTGGGAGTTTAGACTTTCTTCATTTTGACTAAATTGCAGAAAGGGTTGGGCGGAAAGATGGGAGTATGAGACAGACTACCCGCATGTCTAAGGTCCCAACGATACAGAGCGAATGTGATTCTTACAAGGAGGGAAGGGCATTTTTTAAAAAAACTAATCTCCTAGTAATATTAGTTTTCGTATTTTAGAAAATAAATATATAGATCTGGGTGAGCAGAAGATGTCCTTAATTAAAACACGCTCGGCAGATCACAGCTGTTGGCTTCATAATATGTGTTGGAACAATGCAGTTGACTACAGCCGACTTGGTAGTGTTCATCTAGGTGAGGTCTGCCAATATTTTAGGACTGATGTTGTATTGTTGACATTCATCAGCTAATTCCACGATACGCTAACCATTGTGAATTCATTAACTCTCTGCTTGACTGGCAACGTATGTAGTCATGCGACATACTGAAATCGGGAAATGAACCACAGTTGGTCTTTTAGTATGCATCTACTGTCTATATGTATATGAGATTTCAAGGCATTCCGCAACTTCTGTGCGTGTACTGAATAGCTGATTGTGATTAAATGGAAATTGACAATTCCCTCTCTGAGGTACGACTTATGCAGAGACCATTTGACATTGGCGACATACAATGTGTTGTCTATAATAGCATTGGAATGACCTCCAATCTATGCATGCATCCATTAATCATTCTCACAAATATGTTAGGTCAAAATTGATCTTCAGCAACCCATGTTGTAGTAAGAGGGAACTAATGTGATCGGGTGGTCGTTGTCACTTACTTGTTTGATGCATGCCATCGTATCCCACTTGTGAAGATTGATGCTCATAGTGGCATGACCATGTTATGTTTAAGTCTTTTGTGTATATCATTAGATATTACTAACACTGAGGCCTGCATATTTTATGAACTTTATAGAAGTAAAATGTTTATATAAATATTATCTAGGAATATCTTTGAGTTGTCCATAAAAATAGGCACTTAATGTTTTGCATTTAGAGCAATACGTTTCTGTCGTGATACATCTTCATCAAATATTACTCGGTGATAAAGTTGCAAATAAGTTTAGACTAAATCGTCCCCGTGGACCTTTTTCAGCTTCATAACTGTGCATGTAAAAGTCAATGTACAGGAAGGTGTAGCTGTAAGAGTCTGAACCTGTTGTGTACTTCAGCATGTGGATGTGGACCTGAAACATGTTCCCGTAATCTTGACATTGTTGACATTGACTTACATTTGATATGAAGCAAATGCTGCTTCCATTATGATGACATGACATGACTGACTCATCATTCTTTGATGAGCAAAGAAAGGCATCTGGAATTATGCATTTAAGAGCTTTCTGTTTTAGTGTGTTATTTCAGTGATAGTCCATAGTCGACATATTTGGTCTCGTTGATACTATGTAAAGCATGGAGATGTTACTGTTGAACAGACATTTTGTAAGGTTTTGTTGATCTAAATACAAAGTACCAACTTAAGTTTCCTTGTAATGTTTTTTCATGTATACAGTACCATCCAAACGTACATATGATCTTCAAATGATTTACCTGAAGTTTAACTTTAAATTTTTGTATTAAAATTGACCTTTGACCTTTTACCAAAATATATTTCCGATGAGCATATATGTAATGTTATTGTTCACAACTTTAAATCATGATTTAAGCGTTCCAAAACTACTATTTCGATGAAAATCGGTCAATCCAAGCCAGAGTTGTTAACAACAAACCATACAGTTATCGATGAAAATATTACCATAAATGAAATAATGAAATGACATGTTGCACCTTAAAAGGGCCTGTGCACGGTAGTCACGCACGGTAGCTGATGACAACCGGTTTTAAAACAGAGCTAAATCATTGCTGATTGTGAAACATCACATCCCATTCGGTCGCCAGAACTTTACCACATTTTCACCATTTTTAGGGTCTGGCTTCTAGACCAAATAGGCTTCAAACATTGTACATATGGGTAATGGTAGCTAATAATCTTTGGAGCAATGAAGAACCCGTTAACAACGCGGTTTCTCGCTTTAGCAAGACAATTCAAAAACATTTTATGTGACACGTCTCATATAAGCGATTCAAAGAGGTAGTTATTATATTGTATCACTCACCCTTTCCTTCCAGGAATAGCTGCAACCAATCCTCCCAACTGCCGTCATAATCAAAATATTCAATCGTCTTCTGAAAATTAAACCACGACACAGCACAATCCCTTGGGTTTCTCAGAAGTAAGATGATTTTTGTTTTCTTTTGTCGCGCCCCAACAGGGAGTTGGTGAAATTGAAGATGCGTATTTAGGACGCGTGGGGAGGAAATTGCCCTCTGCTGGTTCAGGGATATTCTCTCGATCATTTGGTCTTGTTTGGGCATCTCTACAGTCTTGGCACACCCACTTAGGATCATGTTGGTCATTTCAAATGTCCAGTGCGTCCCTGTGGAAAGTTCAACACGATGTTATCTTACATTTATTATAATCTTTTGATGACAGAGTGAGTTGGGATTTACGCCGCTTTTAGCAATATTCCAGCAATATCACGGCGGGGGGCACCAGATATGGGCTTCACACATTTTACTCACGTGGGGAATCAAACCCCGGGTCTTCAGCGTGACCAGCGAACGCTTTAACCATTGGGCTACGCGTCCGTCCCGTCGATGAAAGGGAATAAACTTAGCAAATGACAACATATGTTGGCCTGCAGAAAGTTCAACAAGACGTTACATTATGCATGGTATTATCGATGCAATGAACACAGAGGAATATGCAAATGAGATTACATGGTGGTCTGATCAAACCTGAACGCATCCAGCCACAAATAATGACGTCATCATCTCGGATTTCCATGTTTGGGATTTCCCGGATGAGCTGCTCATCGACGTCCCCGGGAAACCATTTACCATCCACGTCCACAAAGTTGAGTCCGTGTCCAGATCGATCTAGCACTCGTATGTGGGGCATTGTTCACTGACGATCTGAAATATAGAAATGCTATAATATACTAACAGGCAAAGTTTCTTGTGACATGGATTGTATCCATTGCTAATCTTGTGAATGAGTTTGTGACCATTCAAGGACCAGGAGTGAGTGATTTGGTATTAGCGTCGCCTTTATCATGTTCTCGTGAAATCACATTGTATCAGCGTTATGTTGGTGGTGAAAGTCACGAGCAAGGACATGGAGCTGTTAGTATATATATTATAGGCACTTCTGAAGAAGATTCTCAGCGGACGTATTGCTTCCCATCTTTTATACCAGTTAACATCCCATATAGAAGCACCCATCAGTCAACGTATGGGTACACTTGTTACATCAGCCAAACCAGATGTGACTCTCAAATCCTACATGTCATCTGTGCAGGTGGCCACACGTTATGCCGCTATTAATTAGACATAAAGAATGACATGTTAGTGAGGTAAATACACGTAAAAGGGTCTTACCTTAGTGCAACTTGAGATAGAACAGCTTGCTTTCTGAGGTTTACAGGAGTAATGAGATTTTTATAACTCTGTCCTGCTATTAATATACTCAATATGCTGATGAGGCATAGTTTGTTCCGATTGGTGGAACTGTATCTTTAGTGTTAAATATTCATAACATAGAGTTGACATATACTTTTTCTTCATGTGTTGCTCATGGATTTAACAATGCTCACATAGTTTACCGAATACACGTAGATTTGAAAGAGTCTTAAGAGATTAAGCCCACGGGTATACTAACTAGAGTCAAGTCAAAGATGTTTATTGTACAAAAGGCCTCCGGCCCATATACATTGGAGTTATACATATACATTATACATATGGTGCAATAAGTAGTAATTAGTGATCCAGACAGCAAATCATGATACAGGCAGTAAATTATGTACAAGTAGTGAAATACGATGGACATACAACACTTTTTATCAGATTGTTACGTGTAATAAGAGCATAATTGATATAGTACGACAGCTTTATTATTACATGCTGGTAAGTTGATGAAAGAAGTAGTTTAAATGCTAATGTAGGTGGCTTACGTAGATAATATTCATATATATATATTTAGTACGTAAATCATTATACAAAGGACATACAAGCAAAAAATGGATTTCATTTTCCACATCTATATTACACAATGGGCACATTCTCTTGCATCGTTCAATATAAAAACGTCTTCCTTCGTTTACCATTATGTTGATCAAACCTAACCTAAAACGTATAAATGGATATCTTAATTTCTTTGATGTTAAAAACCATAGATTTGAAGGAGTCTTAAAGAGGCAACAGAAGACGGAGCCAACGGCTATGCTAACTATAGCGGCTTAAGGGATTAAAACACACAGACCACTCCAGTTGGTTGACCTTGCCTGGAGGCGTTTTATCCTCCAAGTGACACTGATTGGTAACATGGCAAATCTGTGTAACAGTTTAAATAACAGACGATGAATAACCGGCCAATTAATAAAATTCTTCAGATGGAATAATAGACCAGATGGGGCACAACAAAACTGTTACATTGTGTGTAAGAGACCTTAGGGCAATGTCCATACGTTTGGAAACAAAGTCAGTGTACGCAAAGGATGTATGCTGAATCCATTTTGTATTCTCCTTTTTCTCCAAAACGAATTTGCATTATAGGAAATTGCGAACAGCCACGAAAAGATATTCGGTTTCATATAGATACTGTACAACGTTTCATTTTATTATTTGCAGATGGTATTATTCTGCTTTCAAGTCGGTGATCACAGCTGGTGACCTGCACAACACGATTTATGTTATGTATCATGCGAAATGGAAACACACTATTAAAAGTGATAAAGTAAAAAGCATTAATATCTGAGTTATAGTTCAACTCAAATTGTCATTTAGCATAGGTGTTAAACTATGCAAATGGGAGGATTAACTGGGTAAACAATTAAACAATTGTTGACCAATAGTGGTTTTGGAAATGGCGTGAATAATGTACCATCTAAAGGAATCTTCATATATTCTTTTGTAAAGAGACTGAAGGGTATAAACTAGCAAACGTGATCTTTTTCGATGGCGTCATCAAACATGTCTATATCACAGACGGTTAAAATCTGACACATTTTCTATGCAGTATTTGATTTTGAAGAAATATAATCACCGACAGGTTTGGGTAAGAGCTAGATGGTCCTTTCATGGTCTCAGCATCGCAGGTGGGCGAGAATCTAAGTTCATAGAGTAAGTGAGTATGGTTTTACGCCGCTTTGAGCAGCACTCCAGCAATATCACAGCCGGGGACACCAGAAATGGGCTTCACGTTGTACCCATGTGAGGATTCAAACCCGGGTCTTCGGCGTGACTAGCGAACACTTTAACCACTAAGCTACCCCACTGCCCCCTCAGACGTTAGAAATACATGCAAATCATGATAATACTTACAAGCCTTTGTCATATTTTTTTCTAATGCCCGTTTATTTCATGACATGCGAAGCAGATGGTAATTTGACGGCAAAATAACACGTACACTTCAAACGTTGGGCATACGGGTGGTACGTGTATTTCCTCGCATGGTGTTGAAATGTTTACAGATGTGATGGCTGTGTGCAGAATTGAGAGCCGAAACACTTACCTAAAACAGAGCCACGGCGCGGAAAGAAATCTGACGTTTCAGAAAGCACTCATCATAGTCTGTCCCGGCCTGTCACACTCAACACCTGTTCCACGTGTTAACTGCCACTTTAGCAATATTCCAGCAATTTCACGGCGTGGGGACAATAGACTGACTGACTGAGTTTGGTTTTACGCCGCTTTTAGCAATATTCCAGCAACATCACGGCGGGGGACACCAGAAATGGGCTTCACACATTGTACCCATGTGGGGATTCGAACCCGGGTCTATGGCGTGACGAGCCAACGCTTTAACCACTAGGCTACCCTACCGCCCCTGACAAAGTTGGATTGCCAGTGGCGAAATGAACGAAGCTCTCCCAACATTCTGCGAAAATTCGGAACTAACCGTCGTATATTCAGTAGGAGGTACCTTTAAAATCGTTGTAAATACCTGAAATCAAGAGTCAGGGAAGTAGCCGATGTGAGCTGACAATGTATATTTTTATACTGATTCTGGAGACAGCTCATTCTTGAGTATGTATGAAATATACGAGATACTAACTGATCAGTGACGAGTTCCCAAGCAGGCAGCCTCCTTAGGACAGCTGTTGTGTGTTGCCGGTGTGATGTCTACTTTGAACTGCTGCACGCTGGTTGTATGCGCTATTGACGAAGGGTACACTTTTAAGGGGTAAGAGAGGTCTTGGACGAGTCCAATTTCAAACTGAAATGGTTTATTGGTTGAAACTCTACAGGCAATTCTTTTATGTGCATCTTGCTATTTTTCAGCTTTTTTGCGGCGGTCTGTAAATTATCAAGTCTGTACCAGACAATCCAGTGATCAACAGCATGAGCATCGATCTACGCAATTTGGATACGATGACGTGTGTCAACCAAGCCAAAGAGCCTGGCCATCCGATTCCGTTAGTCGCCTCTTACAAGCATGGGAAGGGCTGGGACTTGATTTCAGTTGGAAACAACTAGTACCTCTGTTCATGCTTACATCGAAAGTGAGTGAGTTTAGTTTTACGCCGCACTCAGCAATATTCCAGCGGTCTGTAAGAAATCGAGTCTGGACCAGACAATCCAGTGATCAACAACATGAGCATCGATCTGCGCAATTGGGAACCGATGACATGTCAACCAAGTCGGCGAGCCTGACCACCCGATCCCGTTAGTCGCCTCTTACAAGCATGGGTTACTGAAGATCAATATTATAACCCGGACCTTGACGGGTATTAAATCGAACTTTTGCAATCAGGAAATAATTGGAGCAATTTCTCGGACTTATACATATTATAGATGGGGACTATTGTCTCTTCAATTTCACTTATTGTTGAAAAACATTGACTGATTGACTGAGTATGGTTTTACGCCGTTTTAGCAATATTCCAGCAATTTCACGGCGGGGGACACCAGAAATGGGCTTCACAAATTGTACCCATGTGGGGAATCGAACCCGGGCCTTCGGCGTGATGAGCCAACGCTTTAACCACTAGGCTACCCCACCGCCCCTGAAAAACATTGAATTCCTGGCACAGAATAAAATGTGATAATAGCGTAGCGGCCATAACATTTCGGAGTCCCATGTTGGGATTCAAAGCGCGGACCTTGTCGGACGCCAGATGACCAAAAAGGTTAACCCCGTCAGCAAGCTCTTTCAACCTATAGTTTGGCATGAAATGCATGTGGACCCGGTTTTTGTAAATATCTCTTCATCCAATGACCCAATCGATCTCAAACTGTGCAAGTGGATGTTTTGTCAGACAACCTAATCACATTGTAAATCAGTTTGAGATCGATTGGGTCATTGGACGAAGAGATATTTACAAAAAACGGGTCCACATGCATTTCATGCCAAACTATAGGAGATCGAGACATCTATCTTCCACTCTCAGGGCAGGCGTTTTGAACACTGGGCCAAGTAGGCTGTCGAAACTGATTAATGACGATCGACGCGACATTCTTTGATATTACTGACTGACTGAGTTTAGTTTTACGCCGCTTTTAGCAATATTCCAGCAATATCACGGCGGGGGACACCAGAAATGGGCTTAACACATTGTGCCCATGTGGGGAATCGAACCCGGGCCTTCGACGTGACGAGCCAACGCTTTAACCACTAGGCTACCCCACCGCCCTCTTTGATATTAAATAAACATAAAAGTGTATATAGCTATATATGGACCTAGGTTTTAGGCACAGGTTTCCTAAAATCTGGCGTCGGGTAAAACCGTTCCCTTTACATTCTCATTCTGAAAAAAATTTCTGCCTCGAAATGTCGTTCAGACAAGCTGTGTTTCTAGTGAAGACTGCTTTTCAATTTCAATTAAAAAAACATCCCAAAAAGATCATGCCCTCTAACGTTCTGTATTTTGGGCACGTGAATAGATTTGCCTTATGGTGAACAACAATTTACTCGCCTTGATCGAGCGGTGCATTAGCTTATGCTGCGTCGAGTGGCAATTCTTTGCAGAGAAACGGCGATATAATAATAATCCGAATTATGAGCTTTTATGGACAACAATTATTAAAACGTGATCGTTAGATACTTTCGGAAAGGAAATAGAGGAAGACGTGTAGGGTAATGTTGAACTGCAGAATCAAAACGAGACGATCAGATAAAAGAGGAGACGTTATTTACAAGCTGTTAATCCGGATGTTCGTTTACATTATTATTGTTCCGGTAATAGGTGAGGTGAAATTGGGTTTAACGTCGTGCTTGAGAATATTTCGCTCATATGACGATGCGTGTGTATGTGTATGTGCGACTGCTTGTACTAGCCCAGACTTAAGCTGGTTTAATAGATACCATGCCGCAGTGAGGCATGAATACCCCACTCAGACACATTATACTGACTCGAGCCGACCAGTCCTTGTTGTACCCATTAATGCCAAGCGCCAGGCAGGGACCAACAAGTACCATATTTTAACGTCTTTTGGTATGACGCGGTCGGGGACCTTCCGCTCTCCGGGGTTCCGGTAATAAAAACCCGAATGGTTCAATAGTTGAATATACTCATTTCAAAGGTAATCACTAATTGTTAACATGTACCCGTTAACAGATTTTACTGTAATTAGAAAGGCTGTGTATTGGCAAATAAATTATATTGCAATATATTTCGATTCTGTTACTCGTATTGCGATACGTATTGCGGTATATTGGGAACGTAAGAGTTGGACAGTAAGTAAAACTAATTGTGCATGTCGATGCTATTTTTTTCATTATAGTTAGTGGGTTTAGTTTTAAGCCACACTCAGCAATATTCCAGCTGTATGGCGGCGGTCTGTAAATAATCGGATCTGGACCAGACAATCCAGGGATCAACAGCATGAACATCGATCTACGCAATTGGGATACGATGACATGTGTCAACCCAGTCAGCGAGGCTGACCACCTGATCCCGTTAGTCGCCTCTTATGACAGAGCTATAATAAGCGTGAGTTTGGAGTGAAGAACAAATGAAGACTGGTGCTTGAACTGTTTATAGAAATGTATATACATGGATGCACAAATGAATATCCTCACATGATGCCTGGCTTGTTTACCAATGATGGCTAGCATTATTTACAAATCAACTGGTGGACTCGACCGTCTCAGCCTGGACAGGAGGGCTCTGGTTTCAATATCCATCTCTCCCCACTTCCCGACAGCAGGATCTGAAAGTGAGAAGTGGGAATAGAGCTGTCTCCAACTGTGTGTACGTCGTGGTGGGTTAACTTTAAGTCACCCTTCATTTACTGGTTGTGGAGATGGTTGGGGATTGGTTGGCTGAGGGAGTGATTGAGTGGATGAGTAGGTAAGAGTTGGTGGGTGAGTGAGGGGATGTTTGAGAGGTGGGACTTTATGGCGTACTCATGTCAGAAATTCCATACAGTGGCATGCGATCGAAACCGATTGTGAACCGGAAGTGACATCATTCTGTACTTTTGATACATTATCTCTAGGATTTTATACAAATTCATTTTGTTACACATGAACGCCCCTCGCCTCTGCAGGGTTTTTTTATGAGCGAGTGAATATAGTTTTACGAAGCTTTTAGCAATTTTCCAGGAACACTACGGCGGGAAAACCTGAACTGATCTTCATACACTGTACCCATGTGAAGAATACATATTTTATCTATAACAACGGTCAATGGTCATGCTGCGATCAGCAACACGTGCAGAGCTTTACGCTGTGAGCATCTGAGCTGTATTCAGCTGGTGCAGGTGAGCTAATCAAGGGACACAAAGAATTAGAAACTTTGTTTTGGCCAAATACACTGAAACGACATCAAACTATGGCCTGCATTGGTGGTGTGCATTGTGAGTTTGAGTGAGGATAGTTTTACACCGCTCATAGTTTTGTTTGGTGTGAAACGCCACTGTGCAGTATTAAAGCTATCCAGTGGTGATCCAGTGGCCAACATCATGAACATCTATCAACACCTGATACGATGACAAATTTCAGCCGACCTGACAATCCAACCCGACAATCCAACCCACATTAAAAATGTATATACTACCTAAAGAATATCTGAGTGAGTGAGTGAGTGAGTGAGTGAGTATAGTTTTACGCCACACTCAGCATTATTTCTGCTATATGGTGGCTGTCTGTGAGTAAGAGTGAGTGGTGAGTTATGGATGTCAACTCAGCTTTATTGTTGCTATACAACGTTTCTAAGACAAATTGTTATGGATGTTCGTCAAATTGAATGACGCAAGCGTTCTCTTGCCCTTCGTAGGTGAATGACGAAGGGGCAAGGAATAGCCCAGAAACGTTATGTTAACAATAAAGAAGAAGTTGACATCCATAACATTTTGTCTTATACTTGGATACCAACTTCTACATGCCTCTCAAGAACCTCATCAGTCTGTACCTGACAATCCAGTGATCAATAGCCTGAGCATCGATCTACGCGATTGGGCTATGATGACATGTGTCAACCAAGTCAGTGAGTCTGACCACCCGATCCCGTTAGTCAAAGGATATCTGGAGTTTACGAAATGGACAAAGAGGATGCGGACATGATATGGTGCACGTAATGGCGTCATCTCAAAACGGAGACTATAAACACTATCAGAATATTATGCGATGTTATCTGCACTTTTAACTTCAAAGACCTGATGACACATACCCATCTTAAAAGGTCTAATCAGGTGATGTTCCTCATTGAAGATATCTTCCACCTCAAGGTCAAGGTCAAGATCACTTGTTTTGATCACGTGTCCTGTCTCAGCCAATGCAGACAACTGAAATGTGTGGTACAGGGCAAGTAATGGGCATGACTGAAATGGTCTTTAACGCAACACTTAACGGTACATAGAGGACATAACAGACAAAGGTGCGCCCGCTTGACTTGTGTGGCGCCAACAGACCAATGATCATAATCTGGACAGATTCTGGGATTCGAACTCACGATCTTGGAATGGCGAGTTGCGTCTAATACCACTGCCCAAAATAACTTGATTTCAACTCTCAGCATTTTAATTATTGTTTCAAAAGGCCTTACCTTATGAAGGAGCGGTATTTCAGCCGTCATTTCAGTCTGGTTGCTAGGAGACACACGACCACTGATGTCTGCGTCTATCATCGCCTGTCCTTGTGGTTCTAGAACAATATTCATTATATCGGCTTATGTTATATCGCATCTTTCATACAGAGGTAAAAGACTGAAGGGGAAGAAAGAGTTTAAGAGGTGGGATGGGGTGTGTGGTGGTGGTCGTGGTGGGGTGTGTGTTTCACACACTTGAAAAACTTAATAAACTTTCAGGACAAAATGGGGGGTGCGCATACCTGCAACCCCCTCTGAATCCGCACATGTTCAGGATACTTATCGCGATTCCAGTAGGAATTACTAGGAACTTGTGTTTGTCGTGCGTTTGCAATATCTTTACCATGTGTTTGCTGTGTGTTTGTCATTCCAAGCCGCCCAATGGATCAGGTGGTCGTTAAGTTTGATGACTTGACTGTTAGGCATCATATTCCTGCTGCGTCGATCTTTGCACACATTACCAATCAGTGGTAATGATTGGCCTGGTCGAGGATGGAATATTTACAGCCTAACACCGTGTAATGGCAGTTTAGTGTGGAGTTAAAATAAATTAACTAAATGTTTGTAAAGTCGACCTTTTTCTCTCGAGATATTCCTTATGAACAATTTTTACATAAAAGTAAAATTTTGCTACTTGAGAGGTATGAGTGAGATTTTAGCAATATTCCAGCAATATCACACGGGGGGGGAACACCAGAAATTGGTTTCACATATTGTACCCATGTGCGTGATGAACGAACGTTTTAACCACTGGGCTACCCCACCGAGAGTCATGAAAAAATATATGATAGAATTTCAAGCCTCTTTTAAATGACGGTTCCCTTTTCTGGAGCTCTTGGCGTCCCCACTTTTCATTGTTCCATTCATAATATTTTTATTGCTATTTGCCTTACACGCTCAATGGAGTCTAATAATTGAGTTAGGTCATTCTCTGGTGCTGATGTATATTTACGACAAGTATCAGGTTACGATTGTTCTGAATAGAAGCGACAAAACCCTTTCCACATTACAGTTGTACGATGTTTGAAAACAATCGAGTCTGGAACAGACAATCCGGCGATTGTCACCATGCGATATGATGACAGAGCATGTGTTCATGAATCACTATGAAATAGTGATGATACCAGGTGTTCGCGAAAAGGTGAGCGTATCCTGCCCCACCGGTGGCACCCGTCATAAACATATGCAAAGTCTTGTCAGCTGTTCACCTGAAATAATTCGGGAACGTATGGTACAAGTCAATAAGGAATTGCATCGGACCCCATTTTTGTCACTGATGAAGAAATGCCCAAACGCGTGTCTGGTCAGACATGTACCGATACCCTCTGTGTGCTGCTGCCACTGCGTGGGGGAGTCAGGCCTGGAGTAGTAGTAGCTGTACCAGGACACGGCCACGTGGCGGGGGTCACGCCGTCGGAACCTGTCCCTCTCCCCGGCGTTCTCTGACCTGTCCTTTACCTGCGGGACAGTCGGGTGGAGTTCCGGTTCGAAGATCAGGCGTCTGCGAATAAGGATATATGGCTGAATGATCTGATGTAATTAGGAGAATATGATCATTTTGAGGTCATGTAGTTATATTCCTGTTTGTTGTTTAACGCCGTACACTCCTACATTCAGGTGAGTGAGGTGAGGTGAAATTGGGTTTAACGTCGTGCTTGAGAATATTTCGCTCATACCACGACGTGCATGCATGTGTATGTGTATGTTCGGGCTGCTTGTACTAGACTGGACTGAAGCTGGTTTTATAGTGCTAGCCCACTGATATACCATGCCGCAGTGAAGCATGAATACCCCACTCAGACACAAACTTACTCCGAGCCGACCAGTCCTTTTTGTACCCATTAATGCCGAGCGCCAGGCAGGGACCACCAAGTACCATATTTTAACGTCTTTTGGTATGACGCAGTCGGGGATCGAACCCGCGACCTTCCGCTCTCCGGGCGGACGCTCTAACCACTACACCACGGAGGCGATCTCCAACATTCAGCTGTCGGTAAATGATCGTGTCTGGACCAGACAATTCAGTGATCTATGTCGTACATCATGAGCATCGATCGTACGTAATTTTGTGACAGGATGACATGTGTCTTACCACCCGATACCGATAGTGGTCTCTTACGACAATCGTGGGTTGCTGAAGACCAAATCTAACCGGGGTCATATTCATATTCAAACCCATGATCTTTGGACATCGCATCAGTATGTACAGTGAGATACCGTGTTATGCGCCGAACTGGGAGATATTCCAATTAACTGGCAGTGGTTTGTCACTGACGGACCCTGAGAATACTCCGGGAGTAAATATGGCAACTGATAATATACATGAGAATTTCAGAATTTGGATTCTTACTTCGACTCTGCTTCTGGCATGTTGTCTGACATGTAGTCTTGCATAATCGGGCTGGGGGCCATTTCTCTGTCGTCATGGAAGTCGATACCCAACACTGGTTTCTGCTGGGTAATTCTCTGATCATTGAATACCGGAAGCAAGCGATGTACGGCTGTTCCACTCATTCCGATGTCTGAAACAAGAATTGTTTGTTCTTTAGTGCCGCACTCTGCAATATTCCAGCTATATGGCGGCGGTCTGTAAATAATCGAGTCTGGACCAGACAATCCAGTGATCAACAGCATGGGCATCGATCTGCACAGTTGGGAACAGATGACATTTGTCAACCACGCCAGCGAGCCTGACCACCCCGTTAGTCGCCTCTTACGACAAGCATGGGTTACTGAAGGTTCATTCTAACCCTGACCTTCACAGGTCTCACGTGGAAGGAAAGACTTCAGGGTTTGACGTTAGTTTTGATTCGTGAATTATCTCTGTTATCAATGTACATAATCCTCCGACAAACGTGCTATCGTAATCATATACATGCGATCAGCTGCTTAAATATATCAAGGGTTCCATGATTTGGGGGCGGTGGGTTAGACCCGGGTTCGATTCCCCACATGGGTACAATGTGTGAAGTCCATTTCTGCTGGCCCCCGCCATGATATTGCTGGAATCTTGCTAAAAGCGGTGAATAACTCGACGCACTCACTCATTTAAGGACACATATCCTACACAGTCAAACATACATTCGTAGCAATCTTATAGTTATATATACCACATATATGATAAATAAGTTAATATATTGTTACAGAAAATGACTAGCATCACCTACTCTCGCTACTCACGACGCGAATGCTGAATTTCAATTTGCATAATGTATATTTGTAGATATACGATATCCGGCCTTTACGTAAGCCAGTGAATGTGAATTGTAAACACTGTTTACTTGCACCACGGTCAGCTTTTTGTCACTGAGCAATGGATGGTGGTCCATCTACGGAGCAAGTCCAGATTCATTAAAAACATTAAGCAATATTCCAGCAAAATCACGGCGGGGGACACCAAAAATGTGCTTCACACATTGTTCCCATGTGGGGAATCGAACCAGGGTCTTCACCCAGCTCCCCTCCCCCATAAACACAAAAGGGATGGAAGATCGCTGTCCTTTAACACACACGACACTGAGGTCACAAACATCTACAAAGGCGGATCCAGAGGGGTGTGTGTGTGTGTAGGTGTGTGTGTGTGTGTGTGTGTGTGTGTGTGTGTGTGCGTGCGTGCGTGCGTGCGTGTGCGTGCGTGCGTGTGTGTAAATATATTATCCACTGTCGAGTAATTACTTCTGTTCGTGTGCCTCTCCCTCTCCTTTTTAAACTTTATTAACTGACCATTGAAACTCTCCTGAAATGAACTGTGCAATCCCTCTTTCTCAAAAGCTGTATCCGCCCCTGATGTAAATATGCTGACTTAGCATGTTATTGTTATACGATTCCGCAGTTCCTTAGTCACAGATCGACCCTTACAGCAGCTGTTGGTACGAACTACAAGAATAAAACACAAATTCGTAATGAGATTATCTGAATAGGGTTAATATTTCTGAATACATAATCAACATGAAAACCCTTACCTCCACGTTGCCAGAGACCACAAGGGAAGCAGTTGCTTGTCCCAGATCAGTTGTCGGCCACCATATTCACGAGAAAGTGTCGCGCGCATGCAGTTGCGTTTTGGCTATCCGTTCCGTCTGAGGATGAGGAACAACTTAACGTTTGGTTGATTTCGTGAATTGACAATTACGGATACCCGGTGATTGGTTTGTTGAGCACAGTAGGTTTGTTTGTTGTTTAATTCCACATCCAGCAATATGAGGGTGATCTGTTAATATCAACTCCAAACCAGACATTCGATTGACTGACATCATGAGCATCCTCGGGAACTGGGATACGATGACATGTGTCAACCAAGTCAACGAGCCTGACCATCCGATCCCGTTTGTCGCCTCTTACGACAATCATGCATTACTGAAGATCAATTATAACCCTGATCTTCACGTTAAGCATATATTATGTTGCTGAAGATCAGTTCTATCAGGAGCAGATAAGTGCAATAAATTAAGACAATTGTATTGCAATACAATTAGAATGTAGCCAAAAGTATATAAAATGCAATTATACTCCGGCTTGGCCACTCGGCTGTCAGCGTGTTATCATTCACAGATTATCGTGTTATCCTTCACAGATGAATCGTGTTATCATTCACAGCTGTATCGTGTCATCACCCCCAGATATATAATGTTATCATTCAAAGATATATCGTGTTATCCTTCACAGATGAATCGTGTTATCATTCACAGCTGTATCGTGTCATCACCCCCAGATATATAATGTTATCATTCAAAGATATATCGTGTTATCATTCACAGATGCACCATGTTATCATTCACAGATGTATCGTGTCATCACCCCCAGATATATCATGTTATCATTCAAAGATATATCGTGTTATCATTCACAGATGTATCGTGTTATCATTCACAGATGTATCATGTTATCATTCACAGATATATCATGTTATCATTCACAGAGGTATCGGGGCGGTGGGTTAGCCAAGTGGTTAAAGCGTTGGCTCGAAACGCCGAAGACTCGGGTTAGATTCCCCTCATGGGTAAAATGTGTGAAGCCCATTTCTGATGTTCCCCGCCGTGATATTGCTGGAATATTGCTAAAAGCGGCGTTAAACCATACTCACTCACTCACTCACAGATGTATCGTATTATAAATCACAGATGTATCATGTTACAATTCACAGATATAACATGTTATCATTCACAGATGTATCGTGTCATCATTCACAGATATATCATGTTATCATGCACAGATGTATCGTGTTATCATTCACAGATGTATCGTGTTATCATTCACAAATGTATTGTGTCATCATTCACAGATATATGATGTCATCATTCACAGATGTATCGTGTTATCATTTACAGATGTGTCATGTTATCATTCACAGATGCATCGTGATGTCATTCACAGATGTATTATATTATAATTCACACATGTATTGTGTTATCATACACAGATGTAATGTGTTGTCATACACAGATGTATTGTGTTATCATACACAGATGTATCGTGTTATCATGAACATAAGTATTGTGTTATTATGCACATAAGTATCGTGTTATCATACACAGATGTATCGTGTTATCATGCACATATATATCGTGTTATCATACACAGATGTATTGTGTTATCATACACAGATGTATCGTGTTATCATGCACATATGTATCGTGTTATCATACACAGATGTATCGTGTTATCATACACAGATGTATCGTGTTATCATGCACATATGTATCGTGTTATCATACACAGATGTATTGTGTTATCATACACAGATGTATAGTGTTATCATACACAGATGTATTGCGTTATCATTCACAGATGTATTGTGTTATCATACACAGATGTATCGTGTATTAATGTTCCTGTGGGATTGTAGAAGTGTTAGCGGCAACACAGGCTTTTTGACGATGCGTGTTATGTTTATGTAGACGTGGACGTAGACGTGCTGGTTGCCGTCCTCAGTAGTTTACCTGGTGTACATGCCTTATGTATACATGAGTAGCTACACAGTGAACCGCAAGGACCAATGAAGAAAGAAACCTGGTGTATATCACGATAAAACATTATCATAGCATCATTTCATGGTGACCCGCGAAGATCCGGGTTAGAATTGATCTTCAGTAACCCATGCTTGTCGTAAGAGGCGACTAACGGGATCGGGTGGACAGGCCCGCTGACTCGGTTGACACATGTCATCGTATCCCAATTGTGGAGATCGATGCTCATGCTGTTGATCACTGGATTGTCTGAGCGCCGCCATTTACGTGGAATATTGCTGAGCGCGGCGTAAAACTAAACCCACTCACTCGTCGCTGTTAATATTTTCTAAAGGACATCACAACTGCATCCATCACTTAGGCGTCTATATTAATATCAAAATACGAAATACTGCTGACCGCCGCCATATACCTGGAATATTGCTGATCGCGGCGTAACACTAATCTCACTCATTTCTCGTATTCGAACAGCCGTTTGCAACTTGATGACGTGGTTATAATATACTCAGCAAGATTGAAAACTTGACACTTTTCTGTTTTAATCCAGTAAATTTACAAGCATACCAAACTGTTGTAAACAGTTGATATTCACGTGCAAACCTCGACTTTGTAGCCTATAAAGATGAAAAACACGAAATGCACTTGTGAAAAGCACACTCATGTGGTCATTCGGTGCATGTTTGCTTAAACTAAACACGCACATGTGAGCTGAAAACAAATTACCCTTTTCATTTTAATCTTCGTATGGAAATGCTACGCCTTTCAAATGAAGAAAGTCAACGTGCTATGCGAAGGCTTGATGCTGGTCAGTCTGTGGTCGCTGTTGCAAGAGCCTTACTCATGATAAACAATTTTAATCTTAGGATGAGAGTGCATCAAACCGGAACTGGGCTTCACACATTGTACCCATGTGGGGAATCGAACCCGGGTATTCTGCGTGACGAGCGAACACTTTAATCTATAGGCTATCCCAGCAATCCCGTTAAGCAATGAGTGAATTCCCTGAATTATGCATTGTTTCGTAAAGTCCTGTTATGTCCATACTATGTTGCAAGTCTAGATTAACACTAACAAACCGTTTTTCTGTGTAAAATATGTTCATTTCAGAGACCAGATGTTAGTCTAATGTCCTTGTAAACTTACCCGTACCTCAACACAATAAACTAACACTTTCCCGATTTGGGAAAACATTTGCCTGATATAAAGAAAAATAAGAAACAGAATTAAAATTACAATATAAAATATGACGACTTGGAAACGTATAACGAATATATAGCTAAAATCCTAAATAAGAAAAGGAATCAATTAGGGTGTTGTTTAGCACACAATACATTAGTAGAATACAAAATAATATGGGGTCAATCCCCACTATGAAGCCCCTTCCCCTCAATTCTGCTCCCGCAGCCCCAAAAAAAAAAAAACAAAACAAAAAATCCAAAACCCCAACAAAACAAACAAAACAAACAACAAACAAAAACAACAACAAAAAAACAAAAAAAAAGCAAAAAAAACAAAAAAACAAAACAAAAACAGGCCAATCAGCGGGGCACTAAATGATGTCCCGCTAATACAGATATATATCGAGGGAACAGTTCATCGTCAATATCCCACTATACTGAGTCAAAATTGAAACTTCACAAAATGTAATTTGAAAAATAATGAATACTTTTTTCTCAGATGATACATTTATGTATCCGAAATGGGATCCCTATCTTTTTACTCTAGAAAAACGTTAGCAAAACCCACTCAACCCCATCCATTCGTCGTGCAAATGACGTTAGTGCCAAATCAGGTTTTACTCGTGCAGTCCTTCACGTGATCTTCGCATCCAAGTTTTCTTCATATGCACGTGTTTGCATTGGCCTCAAGAATTGAAAAAAACACTTTTAAACCACACTTCTAACGGTACTTGAAATGCCACGATTGTCAAATGTGCAACGTGAACGTGTCGTTGGCATGTTGCAAGCGGGAAGAGCAATGGGATGCAGCCGTCGTACTGTGTATGACTTGTGAGGTCGTCTACAACAAACTGGCACCACTTCTGATCGCCCAAGGTAGGGTAGGCCACGTGTGACGTCACGAGCAGAAGACCGTCAAATCGTCCTACGTGACACGTCACGTACGTGACACATTTCTGCCGGCTACACGAACCAGGCCTGAGATCTCTAGAGGTCAACTGTCCCCACAGACCATTCGAAATCGGTTGCGGGCTGCCAATCTCCATTCTCGACGTCCATATCGTGGGCGAATATTGACGCCGTTTCATCAACGTCAACGTCTGCTGTGGGCCCAACGTCACTTCCGATGGACCCAGAGAGACTGGAATCGAGTCGTCTTTAGCGATGAATCCAGGTTTACCCTCATATTCGCGGACGGCAGGCATAGAGTCTGGAGACGACGTCGTGAACGGTATGACCAATGTTGTGTACAGGAAGTCGACAGATTCGGGGGCGGTAGTTGCATGGTGTGGGGTGCTGTCTGTGGGAACAACCGTTCCCGACTTCTGGTCATCCATGGAAACCTCACAGCTGCTGCTTACCGCGACCAGGTGCTCACCCCTGAACTCGTTCCTTTCATGGCGGCTCATGGCCCAGGTCTACAGTTCCAGCATGATAATGCTCGGCCGCATACCGCGATGTTGACACGGAGTTTCCTTCAAAACGCTGGAATCAACGTCATGGACTGGCCATCGAGGTCCCCTGACCTTAATCCAATAGAGCACGTTTGGGATGCACTTGGGAGAAGGCTTCGTTGTCTTAGGAACCAGCCTCAGAATTTGCAGGAACTTGGCGCTGCCTTGCAAGAGCAATGGCGCAGAATCCCCAACCACGCGTTCACAAGCATCAGGCAGTCGATGAGGAGACGTTGTTTGGCAGTGGTGAATGCGCGGGGCGGCCATACACGATATTGAACTGAGAAATTCCGCATTTTTATTCTTGTGACTTGACATTCTGTATACCGGTGTTTTTGAACGGCGGTGTGGCCTAATGGAACTGATTATGGCACTGTCAGTGTATCGAGTACATCACACAGATCTCAGCAATGAAATAATAACAATTGAACCATCTTACCATC